TTTATGTTGCGGGCCGGAAGGAGATATGTTATGGGCCGGAAGGCAATGTGTTATTGGCCGGAAGGCATTACGCTATGGGCCGGAAGGCGATATGTTTTGGACCGGAAGGTTGTGGCCTGGAAGGGCGTATATGTGGTTGGTATTTTGGGGGTATCTCACTAAGCTTTCGGGCTTACAGTTGTGGTTTTTATGTTTTCAGGTTCTCAGGAGTTTGTGGCAAGGCAAAGGCGTGATCGTACCGTTCCTCGCGTTGGTGTTTTATGAAATGGACCTGGGAAATACTCTGTTAAATAATGTATTGAAAACCTTTTTGTAACAACGTTATTAAAATGGATTGTTTTTGAAAAGTTTTAATTGTTTCGAAATTTCGGTCGTTACAGGTAAGATCTCACAACGTAAGCTGATTCACTACATCATTAAACTCAAATCACTCCTCTTACACCATATTTTCGTGGATCATAATCCCTAGAACCCTTTAAGTTCGTAAACATCCTTAAGGAGTTTGCTAGGGCCGAGATCTACTCACCTCTTCACCAAAAACCGAATCCAACACCCCAAGGTGAGTTCATACCCCTTGTTTTCGGTTTTCACATGATTTTGGGTGAGAATATAAGTTGCTTTGTGTAGATCTATGTGTATATGCATGATTATGTGTGTTTTCTTGAATCATTTGGTGATTATATGTTGCTTACTTCATTAATCTAAAAATATGTCAAGAACTTGAAGTTTATCACTTGGATCTTTATATGAATCTTGAGAGAAGTATGTTTTATCAAACATAATACATGTAAACTAGTATATCTGGGATTTATACATTTGATATAGCAAAAATGAGTGTTGTGTTCAAAGATCTATAAACTAGTATATCTCACGTTTTCATACTATTTTTCTACAATTTTTGGCGAATTTTACAAAACTGCCTATCAAATTTGAAATACTTTCGGACCAACTTGTGAAGGTGAGCAATTTCACACTTGTTAGAAGTCATTAAAAATTATGAGAAAAATTCTGAACAAAGTAGAGAAAATTTCCAAAATTCCAGAATTTACGGATCCAAATTTCGACTTTAATGATTTTTGTACAAATTTTCCAAAAACTAGGTCGGAAAGGCCCAAAACCTGAAAAATGTGTATTTCCACAAAAATCAAGCAAAAATGATATTTTGACAAAAAAAAAAGGGTTTAAAATGTTATTTTTATCACAAAGTAGTCATCAACACAAGTTTTTAACAAAATTGGAGATTAAAGTGTTATTCTTACAAAAAATTGGGCCTTAGTTGTAAATTTTTAGCTTATTAGGCCAAGAACGTTATTTTTACAAAAAGTGGGCTTTTATATCAACTTTGTAAATGATCAAGCTACAATAAACAATACAATAGAAAACCGGTTAAAAACGATATTCATATTATTATCGAGCCTAGAAATAATATACATGTTTAGAGGGCCTTAGTGTCCTTTTACATGTATATTGGGCTTAGGATAGACATTATATTCCTTTGAGCCTGGAAATAATAGACTCATATAGTGGGACTTAGTGGTCCACTTACATGTTTATTGGTCCTGTGAATGGGTTTTATATGCGTTCTTCTTTTTATGCTATTTTAGTGAATACTTGAGCCAAAACCAATGATAAACCAACAAATGGATTTAATTTGATCATTTTCTAGGTTATTGGGCCTTAGTGGCCCATTTTTAAGTGTAAGAGGTCCTGTATACTATTTATATGTTTATTGGGCCTCATTGACCCATTAACATGTGCGACGGACCTTGAATACTATTTGTGTGCTATTTGGGCCTGTAACTACTTTACATGTGAAATGGGCCTTAGTTGTCCTTTCATATATATTTCGAGCCCATGTTATATAATCTCATTCTAATTGGGTCTTGAAATGATTTACATGTTTAGTGATGCCTAAGTGGTTCACTTACATGGATCATTGGGCCTGGAATGAGTTTATACCTTTTTCTTTGCGTAAATTCGATTAAGGATGTAGTGAGTTTTGTCGGTTGACACCTATTAAGTGTACGATTGTAGCCTGTAGTTATAGCCAGAGTCTCTTGGAGGGACAACGAGGATTTGTGTATAGATCTATAAGGGGATGACACCCCACACCTGAGCTGTTCGCTACAGTTAGACTAACTCAGTCTAGGGTGACGAAAACCTTATAATCAAAGTCAAAATCAGCGTCCAACGACGCCAAGACAGGTGAAATTGTCATTATTTAGTATGTTTATGACGGATGGCTTAGAGGAATTAACATTATGAAGTTTACGGAAGACCATTTTTTTTACAGACAACGTCGGGTTGTCTAGGAACATTCTCTTTACATGCTCTTACATTCTCTCTAGATTCTCTTTACCTTTTTAGTCAAATAATTAATAACATACATGCATTAATACAAGATCTAACATAAACACACTAAACAGTTTTATGAAATTATTGGATTTTCTGGTGGTTTTCAAAGTTATACAAATCATTTTCACAAACATGCTTATGAAGTCACCAACATTTTTATGTTTTTCAAAATAACATGTATTCTCAGGAAACTGTTGAAGCAGGATGAACGAAACAAACTAATGGATGTTGTGTTATATTTTGTTTCATCATACTTTTACTATTTTGGCATGTAATATTCAGATACAATACTCGATGTAAACAATGAATGTTGTTATATTACATGTGTGATGATGATGATGTTATGTTTCAATTATATTCACTGTAATGATATTTCAAGATGAAGTCACGCACAAGCCTCCGGACGTTTCCGCCGTCTGGTTCGAGGTTGTGACATCTTTACATGGACAGTGGTAGCTCAACCGATGTTATATACAATCACTCTTACAAACAACTCCCGAGTCACATGCATAAGAAGATAAGATCACCTGAAAATTATCTAATTAGCTTCATCGGATACAATGTTTGACCGGAAGGGACAGTCACGCTACTTTATACCCTAGTAGACTATAACAATGGGAACGGCACAAAACCAGTCAGGTTGGTCATCATCAACTCATCATCTCCATATGACATGATTTTTGGAAGAACGAAAATGCACAAGTTTATGGCCATAGCGTCAATAATCCATGGTATGGTGAAGTTCCATACAATGCCAGGGATAGAGATAATCTCGACTAAGAAAAGAATGAGGTAAAAAGAGTTATATACCAAAATAAGAATATGAACAACAATGGTGACAATTCGACATATTTGAAAGAAAGAAAATGCATACTGTCAAAATAAATAAGGACGAGTTCCAAGAAGGGGATGACAAGAATATAGAGAATAGTGCGCTAAGCCCAGAGGGTCTAAGCAGTCTGAGAGAAGTTTTCAAGGCACTGATCGAAGTGGAAACATGGAAAGTCTGGGAACAGGACACCTTAGTAGGTTCAAAGCTATTTATGTGGACGATAATGATAACAAAAAAACGATCAAAAGGACAGTAGAGCCACAAAAGGGAAGTAACGGGAGGTGACAGAAATACAAACCAAAGAAGGAGCAAAACCAATCAACACATAAAATGGTCAAGAAAGCCAAATAAACGAAAGCAAGGGTGAATGTGGGCCAAAAAATTAAAGTAAGAAAAGAAAAAACAAAAGTGTAAAAAATTGGAAATGGAAAGCGACAACTAGAAGCTTCAGAGAAATTTATGAGAGAGAAACAAAGTGAGAAATAATGATGCATATTATGGGAGAAAATATCCAATTAAATGCGCCAGAAACAACTTGCTTTGCATTATGGGATTTAAGAAACAATGCACGAAAAGGAAGGAAGTGACAACATTAACCAAATCTAACAAAACACATGAGGAAAGAGTAGATTCATGGCAGTAGTAGTAGGGCTGACTTAACATGGCCCGGCCAGGTACTGTGACAAAGCAAGAATGATGTTCTACACAATGCATAATTGTAGATGATACGAGAGCAATGACCATTTCGTTTAGATTTAAGGAATAATTGGTTAATTGATCGCTTAACCAAAGAATACAATTATTCTATAAGCGTAGCTCAGCCATCAAACTACACCGACATGATTGGTCAAACACAATACCTTGACCAAGGCTACCTGCTTAGCCAAAGAATATAATTATTCTGTAAGTGTAGCTCGGTCGGCCGACTACACCAACATGATTGGTCAAACGTAATACCTTAACCAAGGCTACTCGTCTAGCATGATTGGTCAGACGACTACATCGACATGATTGGTCAAATCCATTACCTTAACCAAGGCTACCCACTTATTGGTCAAATGTAATACCTTGACCAAGGCTATCCGCTTAAACAAAGAATATAATTATTTTATAAGTGTAGCTCGGTTAGCCGACTACACCAACATGGTTTGTCAAACATAATACTTTGACCAAGGCTTCCCACTTAGCCGAAGAACATAATTATTCTATAAGTGCAGTTCGGTCAGGTGACTAAATCGACATGATTAGTCAAATGCAATACCTTGACTAAGGCTACCCGCTTAGCCAAAGAATACCATTGCTATATAAGTATCGCTCGATGAACCGACTATTCTAGCATATTGGTCAAAACACCACCCTAAGACTAAGGTTATCATGTGAGAGAATTCAATACATGCATTCCTTGTGTATAGTTTGATCAACCAACTTAAAGTATACACAAGAGCCCCTAAAAATACTTTTAGCGCTATAAATACAATTAGTATAGTTTGGTTTAACTAGAATGACACCTTTACCACCAAGATAACCAACAAATGAAAGATTAAAGGGCATGGTTAAAACAAAAAAGGCAATAAGATAATGAGAAGAACAAACTAAGTGAGTAATGAGTAAATTTCGAAAAAAGGGTTAGAAGTAGCAAAGTAGTACAAAGTAATCAGGATAAATCTAAGGAAAGAAGGAAGAACATACATATGCAGTCAAGAATCCAAGCCTTAATTAAAAGCATAAAACCATACCAAGCATAAAAAAATTTGTTACATATGTCTCAAGAAACTACAAACATCACCTAAGACAAGCCATTTTCCGTCACCACTCATTCCTTATTATTAGCTTCACAAATTATGGAAGCTTCACCATCAACATGATCACACACCAGATGCCACAATTGGTCTACGGTGCTCAAGGGGAAACCCAACTCAGAAAGGTAGTTACTGTAAAACAGTGAATAAAATGCCTCCTCCATTCGTTGTACTCGAGTGAGGTTATACAAAGGAATATCTTCTAGATAGATCCCTAAAGAATGTTCAAAATTCACCATTTCACATCCTTGCCTTCTACCTAATTCAATACAGGTAGCTTGGAGATCTTTATTAGCATCATAAAAGGATGAGTTGTCAAAAAACCTATCCACCACCTTTTCCACTCCTTCCAATAACACCCACTTCATATCCTGGTCCAATATATGCACCCGATCACCCAACATGGTCACACTATCCTATAAATATGTGCTCTTCAAAAAAAAACATGCTAAGTTCACTCTTTAACTTTTAGACACCATTCTTCAAGATAGCATCTTTATCACTATGCCTAGTTTTCTCAAACTATAAAGATGCAAACTTACCCTACTGTACAACAATTTGTCATCCAAATGTTGATGGTCACTCAACTTGCTTTCAAGCATAGATTTCTCCTCTCAAAGGGTAGTCAAATCATCTTTAACACCATGCAATTTTATGCTTCTAGAACCATTCCAACGGCTTAACCAATTGTATCCAATTCAACAACTTTCTTTGACAAACTCACATATTGATCACAAGATGTTTTCACATTGCGAGACAACCATGTCGATGGAGTAACAAAGCCCTTCACAAGTTCGAAGATTTTTTTTTTTTTTTAATTCATGACTTAGTTTACGATTCTCACGATGAAGCTCCTTATTTTTCTCAAGCCAATGCATAAATTCAAATATTTTTCTCACGATTCTCCTTGTTTCTCCTACCCATGCTAAGTTTGGTACCATGGGAAGAAAATTCTCAAATATTGGCATGGCTGCCTTCGCATCTAACAAAGATAAATCCTACATATACTCCATTAAGAAACATAGACATGTCCAGAAGAATATGTTGTCGGAACATTAGAGACGAAGCCAATTTTGTCAGTGAACAAAAAGGTAACAAGGTCATGGAAACGTTTAGTTGGTTCAACGAGCCATAATGTGTTTTTATGTAAAATTAGTTCTTAATTAGTTTAGTTGGCTCAAAGAGCCATAATGTGTTTTACGTAAAATCACTCATATCAAATAATTCGGATTTGGAAAAGTTTGTGTTAAAGTAAGACGCTTATAAACATCTATTTTCAATAATTCTATAGATAATAAGCAAGTTACCAAAATCTTAGCATAAAGTGAGTGTTCATTACAGAATTGTTGATGCTTATAATTTATAATCACATATGTCGACAACCAAATTACTGATCGCATAACAATGTAAAAAATTTCAATCCCATGTCGATTAAATCTATGAAGAAACAAATAACATTATATCAAATAATAAAGCAAACATGTTAATGTACGAAACATATTGTATTATATAAACCTATATTGTGAAGTAGATACAAAAGCATGGAGTCTTGAAGGTTACGCATCAACATGAGATCATTTTATTCTTTGCCAAAACAAAGTGACGTAACAGTAAAGACAAATATGAATTAAATTATAAAACAAAAAGCATGGAGTCTTAGAAGTGCACATTAGAAATGCTGAAAGTGATGCAGAAAAAAAGTACATTAACATACAATCAAATATGGAGTAAAAGAACATTTCAATTTCAACAAAGAAGAAAGTGACACAGAACTTGAACCAAGAACTAATTAACAGAAGCCAATCAGAAGGACTTACGGCGCAAGGTGGTATAGGCGTCATTCGGGTAATGGGTGGGATGTTTTCGGTGGCAAGAAGCAATGGTTGAGAGTGTGTGGGGACGGATCACGTTAAGGAAAGTAGGAAACCATGTGGGCGAATATGATTTTTTTTAACAAGAACTACAATTAATTGCTAAATAAATTTTAAACACCATTATTTGGTAATTACTTTTGCCAATTACAATGTTTCTATAACAAACTCGAAAGAAATGCATTTGGAACATTTATTCTCACATTTAATATAATGAATATATTACTTATATAAGTTATAAATTAGTAATATGTGGAATTTTAATTTATGAAAATTAAAAAAAAAAACATAAATTGATATGTGTATTTAATTTAATTCAGAAATACCACAAAGTTATATGTGATAAAATACATGAGAATGTGACACGTGACATAAATAAATTATATATATATATATATATATATATATATATATATATATATATATATATATATATATATATATATATATATATATAACAACCAAAACAACGAAAACAGAAGAGGGAAATTAAATACATGGACCTCGAACATATAGTGAAGGAGCTACACCCATACATATCCAATGAGGGTACATACCAACTTGCCCCAATACAACCTCTAGAAATTTCTTCATCGAAACATTCAAAAGGGAAATCTTGTCAATATCTTATACAAACTCATATCAGTGTTTGGTCATTAATGGTGCTAGGAGAAAAGACTACATTGCTATATAAGAAGTGAGACCAATTCAACCAAATAAATTCATTTTTCCATCATTTTATCGATTTTAGAAGACCTTCAATAAAATTACGTCCCCTAGAATGGAAATTAAACCGACACCACTACTACAGATCTAGAAGAAGTTTTGGAACAAATCAATAGTGGGAATTACCAATTAAGCATGGAATAAAAACTCAAAACAAACTATCTTCAAAATCGAGTTAGGTTTCAGTTGGCAAGTATGGATCTTGTAAGCCTCAATAATCTGACCAAAGAAAGGGGAGGAGGAATATGTAGACCAGACTTAAGTTACTAAAGGTAGAAGCCAATCATACTAGGCAGAGGACGATCGGTGATCACTGTAGCACTAGGAATGACAACACCATCTTCTTCAACAAGTTAGCATTTCAAAGCAATCTGGTACAAGCGCTCATGAGTAATAGTTGAAGCGGGATTAAACATTACAAGGAGAGACATTGTTATCTCTACTTTGAAGAAAACCAAGTTGTCAAACCCCCAAACCGGAGCGGCAGAAACGTCCAAGTGTGGATGACTTCAATTTAAGTATCACAACACATGCATCATAGTAATCAAAGTACAAAAATCATTGCATTAATAATGTATAAGTTTTACATATGTATTCTGGCATTGTATATATAACATTAAAAGTTATATAACAAAAGATAGTAGACATGACTCTAAACTGCTCCGTCTTCTCAAAATCCCAGGGATGTACCTGTCTACTGGTTCCTTGAGAATACAAGTATTTTGAAAAAGATGGTATCAACATTCAAGTTGAGTGAGTGCATAAGTGTTTATGTTTAATAGCTTGTTTTCTGTTTGAGAGCATAAAGTTTCTCTGCTCTCAATGTTTGTAAGACTTGTCGGAGATGTTGGTTATGCTCCTCCTGACTTCTTAAGTAGATAAGGATATCATCTATGATGACTATTACTTATTTGTCCAAAAATGGACAACACACCCTGTTCATCAAGTCCATGAACACTGCGGGCAAATTTTTTAATCCGAAAAGCATCACTACAAACTCGTAGTGACCATAACGAGTTCGGAAGGCTGTTTTTTTGAACATCTTCCTCTAAAACTCGTAATTGGTGATACCCATATCTAAAGTCAATCTTTGAAAAAGAAGTTTGCACCTTGTAATTAGTTAAAAAGATCATCAATATGAGGAAGAGGGTATCGGTTCTTGATGGCAAGTTTATTTAGCTCGCGAAAGTCTATGCACATACGTAAATATCCATCCTTTTTCTTCACGAACACGACCGGTGCTCCCCAGGGTGAGAAGATTTGTCTAATGAATCCTTTGCTAAGAAGTTCATTCAATTGGCTGGATAGTTCCTGCAATTATGAAGGTGCAAGACAATAAGAGGATTTAGCTACGGGGATAGCTCTAGGGATTAATTCGATTCTGAATTCGACTTGTATTTCTGGTGGGACTCCTGGAAGATCATCAGGGAAAATTTCGGGGAAATTACAGACTTCAGGACTGCTCTCGAAATCTTTCACCTCTTGATTTTTTCTACCACGTGATCTAGAAAAGCACAGTACTCCTTACGAAGATACTTTTGTGCCTTGATGCAGGAAATGATATGTAGGTTCGCTTAAGATTTGTCGTCGTAAACGATAAGGGTCTTGTTACTTGGTAGGTTAAGCCGAATAGCTTTGTCGTAACATTAGATGTTGGCATGATTAGGACTTAACCAATCCATACCAATGATGACGTCGAAACTTTTTATGGATACCAACATCAGGTCGATTGGGAAGGAAAAGTTATTTAGAGTAAGGGTACATCCTTTGTATATATTATTAGTGCACTCGGTTTTCCCGTTAACCATTTCTACAATGAAGGTATCTTTTAGTGGTTGGTAATTTTGTTTAAGTAAGTGTTCGAATTTATGGCTCACGAAGATTTTCTTAGCACCGCTATCAAATAGAATGCATGCGTATGAGTTGTTGAGAAGAAACGTACCCATTACCACCGTAGGGTTTGCAATGGCTTCCTTGTGAGCAATAGCCAATATTATTCCCACTCTACCGACATTTCTCGTCTTTGGACAATCTATTTTGAAGTGTCTAGTTTCACCGCACTCATAACATGCCCGACTTACCCCAACATCCGGAACTTGAGTGATTAGTTGCGCAGGTGACCTACATAATTGGGCAGTATGCCCCTCTCTATTGTAGTTCCTACAATGCATCTCACGACAATTTCCATGGTGATGGAAATTACATTTGTTGCACTTTGGTAACTTTCCAGCATACTGCTTTACTGGGGTAGGGTTAACAGGGACAGCAGTAGGAATAGCAGCAGCATGAATGGCCACAATTTGTTGTTTCTTGGAAAGTTCTTGGGAATATTGACCCTTCCTTTTGTTGCAGGACTTTTTGTTATTGTTGTTGTAATTATTTTTTTTGGTTGTTCTGGAACATCAGTCGTGAAGCCTTGACACACTCCATGATCTATGAGTGACTGTGACCATTGTTTAGCACTATCAAATGTCACAGGCTTTGAAGCCAACGCACTTCCTTGAATTTGAGGTGATAGTCCCCAAATATACCTTTCGATTTTCTTGCTCTCCAGAGCAACCAATCTAGGACATAGGATCACCAATTCACTTAACCTATTGGTTTAAGTTCTTATGTTTGTACCTACCATGGTAAGGCCCCAAAGCTCTTGCTAGAGCTTTTGTACTTCGCCCCTTGGGTAGTACTTTTGCATCATCATTGATTTCAGATTATCCCAACTCATTGAGTTAGGCACAATAAGAGTTAGTGACTTTAAATGGCCATTCCACCATGTAAGAGCTCAGTCAGCAAAAGTGCAGGCAACAAATTTCACTTTGCTCCCTTTAGGGCACGAGCAGATTTCAAAGATTGCTTCAGTTTTCTCTATCCATTGAGTTAGATCCATGACTCCCCCAGTTCCATTAAAGGTTCTATGTTTTCCATTTGTCAAATCCTTATAAGAACACTCCCATGAGTGTCCAAGACTTTCACCATGATTGGTGGGATGAGCACCAACCCCAGATCCACTGGCACCGATTGTATTTATTTGTGACATAGCAGCTACCACAGCTGCAGTAACCACTACCTGAACCATAGCAACATCAAACTGTGGAGGTGGTGGCGGTGCTTCATTGACATTGACATGTCTCAGATTCTTCCTTGGAGGCATCTTTCTCTAAAATAATTCAAGAGAAAAATGATGATAAGTTTTCTATAACAGTTACGGGTTATGTGATATTTGACAAATATATATTAGTTCTAAACACATTATATCTTGACTTTCATAGTATTCTGCGATCTACAACAGGAGTTTACTAATATAAGTAAACAATCGCAATGGTATTTGTGGTATCTCTTCAAATTAATATGCATAATGTAATCCATACTCAGTCTTTCTATAATCATTAGTGTATATGAATCATACATAACCAAGACTAAATTGACCTTTGAATAAGTGATCCTACTCTAAGTCCACAACCAAACAAGGAATAAGAAATAAAGCTAAATCACAAATTCTAAGTCTATAAAACCTTAATTATATATAACTTTTAATGTATACACATAGTAATTATAGCTTTACTCGTAATGATCTTTTGTTTTCACATGTTTGTTTCTAGTAAGAATGACCCCCTTGAATCTTGTTGTTTCTATGTTATAGTGTCATAAAATACTCATATAGTATTTTAACTTTATGTTTGGTTCTAGAGTTCTTCTGGTACATAGGTTTGGTAAGTTTTAGACTTGTTGTAACACCACTGTCACTCCCAAACACATGTTAGTTGTATCTCAAATAAATATCCTAGATCAGGCTATATTTATCCCATATATGATTACATAACTACCTAGGTTTAATTGCAATGTCCAACATCCAAATACTTTTATGTAGTTATGACTGTGATATTGTTCTTGTATGTACGAATGTTAGTATAATTCTTATAAAATACTTGTATTTTAAAAGTATACTTGTAATCAGAGCTCTTTATCCCCATTGTATTTATAGTTGTATATCTTTTATGAATTGATATGCTGACTTCACTATAAATAATGCTCTGATACCAATCTGTCACACCCCCAAATCGGAGTGACGGAAACGTCCGGGGGCGAATGGCATCATGTAAAGTATCACAACACATGCATCATAGTAATCAAACTACAACAATCATTGCATTAATAATGTATAAGTTTTACATATGTATTCTGTCATTGTATATATGACATCAAAAGTTATACAGCAAATGATAGTAGACATGACTCTATACTGCTCTGTCTTCTCAAAATCCCAGGGATGCACTTGTCTACTAGTTTCCCTGAGAATACAAGTATTTTGAAAAAAAAAGAGTATCAACATTTAAGTTGAGTGAGTGCATAAATGTTTATGTTTATGAGCTTGTTTTCTGTTTCTTGAAATAGAGAGTATGTTTACTGTTCCAGAAAAATCCAATATTTTCTAATGTAACTGAAAAGTAGTTTTAATCCCATAAAAATGTTCTGTGTAAGTATTGTTGTACTATGAAATAGCTTAACATTGTTCTAATTCAATAAAACTACAAAAAAAATGTTTTATGTATTGTTTATGTTTCCCAAGTTATGTAATTGTACTCTTGGAAAACCTTATAAAAGTGAGTATACCTGGCTCCACCCGCTGTAATTGTAATGTAATACTGTAAATTGTATTATTGTAAAACCAATACTTTATACTCTTACTCTTTGGTTTAATTAATTATACACTAATTCTTTAGGTTTTAGCCGATTTTTAGGTTTCAGCCGATTTTTTGAAAAACACTGATTTTTGAAAGCGTTTTACTAAGCTTGTTTGGAATGTCTACATCGAGCCTGAAGTGTTTGAATCAAGGTGGAAACTGCTTATGAGAAAATTCAAACTACAGGACAAAAGATGGTTCAAGGACATGTACAGGGATCAAAAACTTTGGATTCCAACCTATTTTAAAGACATGCCACTACACGGTCTGATGAAAACTACTTCAAGGTCTGAAAGCGTGAACTCATTTTTTAATAAATAGTCTAACTCTGGTAATTTGCTTATCTATTTCATGATGAACTATGACACCGCAATTGGAAAGCAACTAAATGCTCAACAGAAACTAGAACATGATACAAAAAATGCAAAGCATGAAATGACGCTTCCAAGTGGATTACTAGAACATGCAGTTGCGGTTTACACTAGAAAAAATTCTATGAGGTCAAAAAGGAAATATTTAAAGCATCCTGGTACTGTTCTATCGACAGTGTTGAAAAGATTGATGGGTGGCAAGTTGTTATAATTACACAAATAGATAAGAGCAAACAGTTGAAGATAAAATGCAAGGTTATATTCATCGTTTAAATGCTTTTCATTAGTGATCATACAAGTATATTATATCATTATTTTTCAATTACATATACTTATTTCAATATTATGCAATAACCACCAACTAATATGTTAATTCAATCAGTTACTAACATACATTATTTTTATTATACAATGTAGGTTGAACTAAAGTTGCTTGAAAAAAAAAGTTAAATGTTCATGCAATCACTTCATACGTACTGGCATTTTGTGTCGTCATATTTTTGTTGTATTGAAAAACAACCATGTTGAAGAGATTCCAGAGCAGTATATTCTAAGAAGATGGAGAAGGGATGCAATTTCCAGCCATTTGCTTGCCATGAAACATGTTGCCATGGACACAGAAGATGACATATTTAAACTTCTAACAGAGGCATACATCAATATTGAATACTGCTAGGATCATTGCAAAAGAAGCAAGGAGAAATTGTTGGAATTTGGTTAAAAAACACGTACGTTGAAGCAGCCAGCAATGGAGTTTGGCAGTTCAAATCAAACATCACCTGATAACGATGAAGAAGAAATTATTCGGATGCGTGGAATACGTAGCATTCCTGATGAAACAAATATCCATCCACCTTCATCTATACGTACCAAAGGTAGTGAAACTAAGAAAAGAATGATGAGTGCTATTGAGAAAGCCGTTGTAGCTGCAAAGAAAAAAACCAGAATGTGCACAGGTTGCAATCAATATGTTAACCATAATTAGAGGACTTGCAAAGTTAGACTTGGACGAGAGTCAAAACAAACTTAAAATGGACCATTCTTTTTCCCAATAGATTTTACTTTTCTATTAGATTTATGAATAAGAATATATTTCTATGATTTAGTATGTTTTGTTATCTTAAAACACCTTCATTATTTTTAATGTTTTGTTTTATTCAACGATGAATAATAGCATTGCCAAATCTTGTAATCCTAACAGATTAATGATATTATTAGGCATTTAAACCTCTGTTATTTGATTAAAACAGTTCAGACTTAGAATAGATATATTTTTTCTTTCTTGAAATTAAAAAAACATCAATCATTATAGACTATAATCATATACAATTCAAGTAGTATTCATAGTTTATTGTATGCTGTTAGTAGTATATCATAATAACAAATGTTTGTACGATTAACTTTTAAAACACCTATACATCATATATTGATTTACGTTTGCTTTTGGGTAAATTTTTGTCATAAGTTTAACCATGGTTGACTTTAAACCCTTTGTTATAGTCAATAATGAATAGCATCATAAATACATTAATTACTTTCAACATATTAATGATATGAAAATTGTGAAATACTCTTCTGTTAAGTTAAAACAATTTGCATTTAAAGTATAATATCTTAGGAATAATTCAAGTATTTATGTTATTATTCAATATTTGAATAACAACATACTTTAAGATATAAAAACAACAACAATCATAATAGAATATAGATATATTCATTTTAATTATTAAAAATTCTGATTGTAGGGTCATAGTAATATAGCATATTAACAAATGTTTGTTAGTAAGAATCATTCTTGAATATACACTAAAATTATACCATCCATGTTAATCATCATTTTTTAACATAATTTAATTTTTCAAATGTTAATGTAAAATTATAACTACTAAAATATCACCAATCCATTACTAAAATTAGCAAACCAAAAGGAACTATTGTACGTTCAGCAACCCAAGTTAATATCCTTAGCATACAAAACCATTGTTTTAAAACTATCCAAAAGAAACCATTAAAGTCATACCTAAAATAACTTTTTTAACATAATTAACTTAAATCATCCAATCTCCAGTGAATTTCTTCCTTTGCAATGGCCAATAGTTGAGAACGTTGTCTTGAAGGATTCTTGTGGAATTCATCAACCTTTTACAGCACATAATCCTTTTGCACATTATATTCATGAGTGACAATTTTGTATAAATACATTGTCCTCAGTTTAACAAGTTGATCATCTTGTGCAGAAGACTCATTCTTGAACCCAACTTTAAACTCATTCATACTTCCACCCATATACGTTTCCATGTGACACATCATAAACACACCACAATCAATGTTGTTGTTTATTATTCTCCAAGGCATTTCCAGTCTATGTGGCATCACATGTGAAAACATCTCAGCTTTTGGATGATTCTGAGATTTTAAGTAATCAACTATGTACTCTTTCTGAAAATGTAAAAAACATTGTCAACACATATGAAATTTTATTAACTATGTAATGTAAATTTTATTAATCACTTACAATGATTTGGGGAAACTGACCATATCTCTCATCATTAGGATCATCAACTTTGCTGTTGTCAACGATTACAAACTCTGGGTGTTGTAGATTGATCACAAAAAGGAAAATGTGGAAGGAACGGATGACTAGTAGGAAAAGCTGCAACATTTATTCAGTTACATGTATTCACTTTATTTAATATTCATATTTGATCAATGATAAATAAACACATAAGTAAACTGTTCAGATATATGTCTTACAAATCCAACAAAACATAGGCTTGGGTCCATATCTTCAATAGAGAGCACCAGATTCTCAATTAATTTATCTTTACGTTGACTTTCTGTTAAATCACTTTCAAGATACGAATTATGTGATCCATTTTTAAAAACTCATTAGCTTATTTATATGTTGTATTTAAAAAATAGTATAATCAACATTGAACAATATTAATTATACCATCACATCTGTCTTGCAATAAACTCTCAGAGGCGATTTAGGTGCACGCTTACTTTCATCAAGATTCAACACTTAACATCAACAATCAATGACATGTCCAAATAGTTCACATGTTGGAAAAAAAACTTTCCATATGAAACCTTTAAGTAGAAAAACCATCCAAAGTGTGGAAAACTATATCACTGCAAAAGACGTGACCAATTAATACTATTTTTAATAAGCAACCAACAAAATTAAGTAATTTTAAAAATATTTTAAATGCAACTTACTTTGGCTCTCCCTAGAGAGAGAATATCCATTCTACTACATGTTTTTCCTGTTGAGGAACTCCTTTGATGATATCAACAACCCGTATAATGTAAGGATATTTCAGATATTCGGATTTCATGCGAGGCCTGTACCATCTTCTACTAACCCAATGTTCATCATTGTTGAATGGTACTACAGACAAAGGAATTGGTATTTCCATTTTAGATGGTGGTGTAGTCTTAAAAGATTTTCTTCCAGATCTATTCACGAAGTTTGCATATTCCAGTGACATTTGAATACTACATTTTGCTATCGGGGAGTTGTGAAACTATTTGTGAGTTGTAGCTAGAATCAACGTACGTTCAGTTTCAGCCTCGTTATCATACCACCATTGATATTGTTCTGGTTCCTCTGATGCGGAAACTTCACTAAACAAATCATTTACTTTGTTTTTCCATTCTTTGACCAACTGATTCTCAGGATATTTCTTGACAGCATCATTTATTTTGTCTTCTAACACTTTTTTTTGCTACAATAGCATGTCGTACATCTCCTTTATTGTTGAAATAGTTGTCTAATTAGGTCACCACAATAGAATTACATTACAAACCAAATAAAAACATTAATATGTCAGTTAGTATTAATTAATACTATAGTAACTCATAATTCAAATGTGAATAGGTAGTAAACTACCTCAACACTTTCCCCACTTCCACTAAAAATTTCATCTCCTTGATTTCCCTACGAAAAGTAATACAATATTAGTTTTTGTACTAATAACTTATTATTTATTAATGATTATATTATATTAATACCTTACACCTTCTACCACTACTTTTAACACCTCCTGCATCATTTCCTTCTCAATAATGTATGAATATAATTAATTTAGATTATACCAAAATAAAAAATAATAAATTTCATATGCATTATTCAATAGAAAAAATTATTACCTGAACTTTTTCTTGCCCTACATTACTAGTTCCCGATGCTTCATTGATGACTTGAATTGGTTCTTGCAATTCACCCATACCCACACCTATTGTCCTACACTCTACTATTTCTCGCTCACGTAGTTTATCAACATTCCAAAAACATATTGCTGGTCTGCCTCGTACAATCTTCACTGAATTGCATCGAACACTTTCTATGTATAGCAACTACAACAAAGACAAATAAAAAATGTATTAATTAAATACACTTTAATGAATCTGCACACATAAGTCTACCAATATTGAATGACAACTAAATTTAAAACAAATCTTACCATCAGTAATATAATTGGCCCAACATAGAATCCTTTTTTTCTGTTTGGATTCCATGAACTTTTTGTCTCCTTAAGGCAATCAAAAACATATTCACACCAATCAATGTCACTTAGATCCAGGTCTTTCATGACTTTTGATAACATGGACAGGTCACATGTTCCCATGCTCATCAATTGACCTAGTATATTACACAACAGGAGAAAGATGTTTACTTTAAAGAGTAAATCCGCACGTGTTGATTGCATAATAACTTGTTGAACTACCCTTGGTCTAATATTATCTTCATCATCGAATTGTTTCCTCCAAACAGTTATCGTGTCGTCTGTGACTTCTCTATAAGGCATGGACTTTATTGTAACATTTCCCAGAGGCAGACCCAACATTTCGTGAATAACTTGCCGATTGATTGGTATCTCTCCATGATGAAGGTTGAGTACCATCCTATCTGCATCAAAATTCCTTACAATATAATGCCCCATAATTGATGCACACCCATCCACTTTCATATTCAACAAATGCCCCAGACCAATAGAAAAAATATACGCTTCCTGTTCCTTACTAAGATTAGGCATACAACTGTACAAAACATTTGAAGATGTCCGTACGTGTATTCGCCTTGCTTCTTCTGCATCATTTCCTACAACTTTAGGTAGTTTTCTTGCCTTCACTACATTTCCTTCTTTATTCTTTTGTCTTTTAAATTTCTTCACATTTTCTTTGTCATCATTTTTAAATGAAGTATAATGCCTTCTCTTTTTCCTTGTTACCACAGGTTTGGCATCTCAAAATCAGAGTCTTCATCTTCATCAAGCTTCTTGACAGTAACATTATCTTTTCCTGTTAAGATATATTTAACACAATAAATGATTATAAATAAATTACAAAAATAATACTATACTAAGTTTATTAAAAAAATCACTACCTGAACATGAGTTTATAACAACAACTTCATCACTTTTTATTTTACATCTATCAAACCGTCTTTTTGTTCTCAATTTATTTTCGATAGGAATTGATGTATTCCACTATCTTCTGTCATGTCATAACTTTCAATCAAACCTACCAATATGTAGACAACATAATCATAACTGAAGACACTTTAATATACAACTTACATTACATGAAATCATCATTGATACCTTTTTGTTTCTGTATCTTTTTTTTAGATTTTGAAAACCTTGATTTTCCTCCATCAAACTTCTTTACATTGACTTTGGGTTTCATGTTCTTTTCTATTAATAAACTAGGTGTCAGTCCCATGTATTACATGAGTGTATTTAAAACAATTAAATATGTATAAACATTTGAGAAATTCGAATTTATAAGAAAAATGAGAAAAATATTGAATTATTAAAATTAAAGTGTTTTTTTTTCTCTTTTAAATTTAAACAAATTATTTAAAAATAATCAAAGCAAATTGATGAGATTTTATTTTAAAATTTTGAAATTATATGGAAAGTCCATTAATGAAATTAATATGCATTTATTATTAAATTTAAATACCATATGGAATTCAATAAAATAGGAAAACCATAAAATTACATTAAGAATAAAAATTATTTCAAAATAACCACAAAATAACATGTGGCAAAATGAATGAGAGTGTGACAAGTGGCAAAAAAACCTTCATTCATTAGAGAAGATACAAAACAACACAAGTTATTAAAACTAACTACAACATCAAATTCTAAATAAATTTATTTTTAAACAAGTACATTACTTGAATCTGAGCTCAAAACTACAACTTTAAGATCCTTTCACATTGAATTATCTGGTGTGCGGTTAACACGTTCCCCCACACCTGTCCAAAAGATAAGTCACATAATCACTATAGATTCCAATTAATATTTAACATTTTAAATGTTATTTAATCATCATCACCACCAGTTTGTTTTTTAGTTTTCTTGTTAGGTGTTGAACACTTCTTTTGTCCTTCTCTTCTAATCCGAGGTTGTACTATTTCGTTTCCCTGATTGTCTTTATATTCAATATCAATAAGCAATGGATTGGAGTCTTCATTAGTGAATTTTCTGAATGCCGTCTTTAGTAATATCCTCTCGCTTTTCTTTCTACCTAATAGTAGAATTAAAATACCTTAATCATTTTTAACTCGGAATTGAATCATTAATAACTCAAATAATCATAAATTATATCTACTAAACACAAACTCATTTAAACACATACCCAAGAACAGAGTAATGTTTACAATAATCATCACTAAACAAACAGTGTAATTAACTTACTCACAAAAACCAGTAGGGACTCCTACACCATTATTCTTTACTTAGTACATCATGTACAGGATCAAAACCACATACATACTCAATAAATTACCCAATCACAACCGAATATGACTTTAACAATATACATAATATACAACCAACAACAAAGATTAATACTAGAAAAGTAGCTCTATCGCACAAACAATTGGATTTTACAAGTAATCAATAGTAATGAATGACATTTATACCCTTCCTTATTATTTTCTACTAAACACCATTCACAATCAAATACTAACATCAATTACTCCTCTTGTCCTACTGATAATATATTTATTTTTCCATTCAACAATACGACTCTGAAAACAAAAGTAAAAAAAAGCCCTAATTTTTGGGTTTTCGTAACCTTACTTCAGTTCAAAGTAGTCGACTACGACTACACATGTATCTGCATCTTAGAACTTTCAATCACAATCATAAACGATTAATTTTTAAACACATTTAATATCAGAATACCGTAACTTCGAAACTCATCTACAATTACCATTTTCATTTAAACATTCACATACACCAACGTTTTATTTGTAAAATACAACCTTTAAATCAACAATCATCAATGATGTAGAGTCACTACAGTTCATAATCGATGATATAAAGAAAAAACGAAAAACCCAACTTATAGGGTTTTAAGAATCGTTAAAATGTACACATTAACAAAAATAAATAAACACACTACTACACCTGTTTTCCACTCAATCGACATTCAAAAAAGATTAGAAAGGTTACTTCTTCCACTTCGGTTGATGATCGACGACATTCCTCCACCTTCAACCTTTCACGGACTTCTGAATGCAAAAAATCTCTTTACGGATGAATAGTACTAATCGAGTGTCGTATAAACGTTTAGCTGTGATGATATTTTGCATTCAATATACGATCGAATCCTCCAAAATATTAGAAGTTAGCTTTGATTACTAAAACATAGGAACAGTTTCTTTTAATTTTCAAATTTACCTGATATATTCAAAATGGATGACATAATAAAATTACTTGAATACCCTTTTATATTTTTTTGATTAAAAAAATTAATTCATTTAATATTTTGTTTAAATTAATGATTAATGACATCCTTAGATTTTAAATATTTAATGTACCAGATTTGTTCTCGAGTTCTCAACCTTTTAGGGGTTCTCATTTGATCTATTCCCTATATGTATATATATATATATATATATATATATATATATATATATATATGTGTGTGTGTGTGTGTATGTGTGTGTGTGTGTAAGATTAAGTCGTCTTACCGCTAGTATGCCTCATTCACGAAGCCGATCTATAAGGGGGGTATAAGGTTGTTGTCTATAAAATAGCAACTTAATGGGTGTCCACTCTCACCCACCGCTTCCTTGATCGGTGGAGGGCCGTTAGCCGAATGGGTAAGACAAGGACTTATAAAGTCTCATTAAAAGTATGATAAATATTATAAAGTAGCTTAATGCTTTTATTTAATTCCCAATCTTAGTTACTTTAGTGAAAATGTGAATAAGAGGCTAATCCATGAAATTACACTTTACACTTTGTTTAAGTCGTTGGTGGAGCGTGTGTGGTTAACCGGCACACTAACTTGGACTTAACAAGGTAGGTAAAGGGTGACTTAGGGTTTATCATAGTATCAGTAGAGCGTGTGTGGTTTACCGGCACATCGATTAAGTGATAAACGTTAAAAGTACCAAGTGATTTGCAAGGTTACTTCACACCTCGTTTTGTGATCCTTGGTATCCCACTCACAAAACTTGGAGGGCACACTCGAGATTGAAGCATGCCATTGAAAAGTTCAATGAATCTCAAAGAATCTAGGAATTTCTAATAACCAATTAAAATCCTAATATCAATATTTCATTTTTCATGGTGGAAATTAGTGAATCGTCATTCACCAACCTTTCAAATATATTATAGCTTAGATTACGGCATACCTCTTCTAAGTTATAATAATGTATTGTGATTGGATCCTAGCCTTAGTTTTACATTTGGGTGTTTTATTAAGGACTCTCTTAATATCTAAACTAATCTTGTTCTCTTCATTCAGATGTCTTCAAACAACGTTGCTTCTGGCTCTAATCCTAATGGCTCCTTTACCCTTATGAACTTGTCTGGCAAAGTCACTTTTAATGGACCCAAGTTCAATGAATGGATGAGAAACATCAGGATGATTACCCGCTACGAGGACAAAGAATATGTCCTCGATAAGGAGCTTAAGGAGATTGATGAGACCACTTGTAACACCGTAAATTTCAAGACAAATTTTTCATTTTAAATAATCATTTTATTCTTAGAAACACTTGTTTATTATATCATTCATAGTCGATTTACAAAACATGACTCCATTTTCACTTACATAGAAAACCAGGATCCTCCAACATATGACTCTTTCTTTGGTGTGTACAATCAAGCCGGTGCCGTCCCGTGATACGGAAAGAAACCTGAAAAACATCACACAAAACACTGTAAGCACGAAGCTTAGTGAGTTCCCCAAAATACCACACATAACACATATTAGTCACTCGAGGCTATAACTCTATAGGTCCGTGCACCCAACTCTGTGAACCCTCAGGTTCTAACTCTGGGAACCTTCCGGTTCCAACCCTATAAACATGCACATCATAAATCACATAGAAGTAATGCAGTACAACACATCACGTACATATAACATACAAATACTCTGATCACGTAACTCTGGTTACCTACTCAAGGTAAAGTATAGTGAGAAGACTCACCTGGCAAGCAGAAAGCAGATATCCCCACACTTGAATCTCGAACTCGCCACCGCCTAACACGTAAGGCAAATACTCTCATGAATATAACTCTTGAGACTAGAATAAATCCTCTCATAACACCCTCTTATGGGTAAAAGACTTTTTTACCTCTCTCTTGGCCCAAAGGCCACATCACTGACCAAACCCTAAAAGTCAACGGCCAACCCTTGGTCGAAATCAAAGTCCTCAGTCTAAGTCAACCCCTGACTGACCCTACTTGCCGAGTCAACCCTGTGACTCGTCGAGTTCCCATAATCAGAACTTCACTCAATCTGCGACCTAACTCGCCGAGTCACCACGAGACTCGCCGAGTCCAACAACTCTGAGTCCACTCGCACACGACTCACCGAGTCATCCCTCGACTCACCGATTCTCGACTCAACCAGAGAATATTTGGGACTCTTCGACAAGACTCGTCGAGTCCAAGAACAGACTCGCCGAGTCTATGGCTATCTTCAACCTACTCACCGAGTTGTTCATACAACTCGCCGAGTTCCAGGCCATCTTCATCCAACTTGTCGAGTCCACCCTTGTGACTCGCCGAGTACCACCGGTCTGAATACATTCCGAAGCATTCTAGGCCATGCAACTACTCCAAAACATAGATCTAGTCTCCTACCACTCATCCATCACGTAAAGTGGCAAACTTTACGTGAATCCAAAGAGATCTAAACCGTTTGCACATTGGGCTAGGGTTTGGGACATGTAAGCTTCACTAAACACTCCAACACAGGGACTTTCATGCTCTCTAATTCTTCTCCCTTCCAGATCTGAGGTAGCAACCTCAGATCTAACCTCTAGACTTCCCAATTCATCCATAGACAATTTCTCACAAACCCCAAAATGAAGAAACAACATAACAACAGGTCAATAACGAGATGTTACCTCTAAGTGATGCCCCAACTGCAATGCAATTCGAATCCAAGCAAAGCCCCTTGCTCCAAGCCTTCAATCTTCCCAAAATTCCTTCAACCATTACTTCTCCAAGCTCCAATCCACTCAACAATGGTGCTTCTCCGTGATTTAGGGTTTTTTGGGGCTCAAGGGGTGATAAAGAGGCTGGGAGGAAAACATAGTGATATTTATATAAGGCTCAACCCCGAGAATTAGGGTTTTCTCCACTCAGCGCCTACTCGCCGAGTCCATTACACTGACTCGCCGAGTCGGCCACTTAACACGCGACCAAGTC